ATAGTAAAAAGATGGAGACAGTCTAAGTGCCCATCAATGGAAGACTGGATGAACAAACTTTAGTGCATTCGCACAATGGAATATTATGTTACCTTGAAGAATAACAAGGAAGCTGTAAGCTACCACATAACATGGATGAACCTTGAAGACATTACAGTGAATGAAATCTGTCAGTCACAAAAGGAGAAATATTGCATAAGACCATTTTAGTAAAAGCTTAAGAAAAGATACCCATACTAAAAGAGGGGAAGATTCTTGTTGGTTACTGGTAGAGGTTCCGGGGAGGTGGAGGGAGGCAATGGCAGAGCACAGGGTAGGGAGCAGACAAATCATAATTTGGGTGTTGGGGAAGGCACTACACAAGAAGGGGGAGGGATGGAAGAAGAAGGTAGATAGGGGAACACTGAGACAGGTTTGCATGGGCTAAATGGGAGAGTTAATAGTGATGCATGCTCAATCTTGGAACAATAGGGCTCTGTGATACAGGGTTCGAAGCATAGCCTGAAGAGGGGTAATAATACTAAGATGCTTGACTGTCTTATGGACAAGGACATAGCCATGAAGTCCTAGAGCTGAGAGTGAAGCATCCAGCTGATATGAAGTGCGGGGAGACGCACAAGAACACTCAAGCTTGCAGATAGTTCCCATCTGACCTAGACTTGGTAATCAGAACTCAACTAGAGGTAGATAAAATTAAAAACAATTTTTGATGGAGGAAATGATGGCAAATTGCTGCAATTTGATGAACTTAACCTATACTCATGGATGTTTTAGCTCAAAATACCAACAGAGATGGAGGGAATCTTCACATCAAGTATCAATGCTATCCCCTCTATATACAAGGTGGATATTGTTGTTGTTATGTGCCGTGGAGTCAGTTCCGACTCATAGCGATCCTGTACAGGGTTTCCAAGGCTGTAAAACTTTACGGGAGCAGAAGGCCTCATCTTTCTTCCACGGAACAGCTGGTAGTTTCCAACTGCTGTCCCTGAGGTTCGCAGTCCGATTCGGAATCACTACGCTACCAGAGCTCCTTGTACAAAGTGGATAGGGACGGGCAACTTATATATTGTCTATCTAAAATGAGGGGATGATAAAGGCATGAAGTGACTGGTTTACACATTTTCAAGAGGGAGTTTAATTTAAGAGTGTGTGGGGGAAGATAGAGTCCCCACTGAATAGTTTTCATTTTGTCAAGATAGGTCTGGTGAAAAGATATGGAGATAAGATTCTTATTACTCAATAGTGAGTAATTGTTATTATGACTAATTGCGACTGTCACAATTATAAAGGTAGAAGTTATGTAACAAAAATGGAGGAGTAGTTAATCTTACAGTCTAGAAACAGAGGACCCAAGGACCTTCAAGGGAGAAGAGCACAAGCGGAATGCAGGACACTATCCAGAGAAGCAGCAATACCATAGATGGAGGCAGAAATGGGGACATGGATAGAGAGAGAAGCTGAGGACTCAAAATTCATGGAAAGAGAGTGACTCAGAGCTGGTGGCCAGGAGGCAGATTTGAAGAATGTGCCCCTTGGTGGTGCAAATTATTACATATGCCTGATGCCTGAGTGCTTAAAAAAAAAAAAAAAGAGCTTAAATGCATAGATAGAAATACTGTTAACTGATGGTACATGGAGGGGATTATAATCATTGTAATGAAACAAGGTATATAATTTGTCGACTGTAAAACTGATGATCTGCACTGTAAACTTGCATTCAATTCACAATAAAGACTTAAAAACAAAACAAAGTTTACAGGGTAGAGTATCACTTTTACATTCAGCAAATCATATTTTGTTTCATTTAAATGATTGCAATCCCTTACATGTATAATCAGTTAACAGTATTTACCTTTAATCCCCCACTTCCCACCCCCCTTTTTTTTTGATGGACACATGCAAAACAGAACATATATATTTGTTTAAATGTACAAAGGGCCTGCAAGCACACAGCCTTTCTTAGTCCATCAGCCTAGAGCCCTCAGCTGCTCTATCTCTCTATGTTATCCCCTCTGCCACTGTCTCTGCTGTCACTGTTTTTCTGGTTACAATCCCAGACTTCACTTCCTAAGGTCCTGTGCTCCTGAAATGAAAGATTAACTACGCCCCCCTTTTAATTACACATCTTCTACATTTACAGTTGTTACAATTGCAGTTAGTCCTAATAACAATTACAATTGAATCAGAAAATCCTATCCCCATTATCATCCATTCCCTTTCACCAGATCTATCTGGAAAAGAGGAAAACTTTTCAGTGGGGATTCTACTTTACCTCCTTCATTCTGAAACTAAGCACACTAATGAAAGCTTGTAAGCCAGTCACTTCATGCCTTTATAGCCCCCCATTTTTGATAGCCAATGTCTAAGTTGTCCATCCCTATTAACTTAATATAGTGAGGAGGGAAGCTTGTTCCTTGATATAAAGAATCCTTCTCTTTCAGTTGGAATTTGGAGCAACTGCATCCATAAGCAAAGTTCCACTTCATCAGACTGTACCAATTTATACTTGCTCCACGTATCAAATGTCTTTATCTTTATCTGGCTGAGTTTTCATCAGCTAGCCATCCAATCTAGGTCAAATGGGCTGTATCTGCAAGTTTGGGAGTTCTCTCATGCCTAATCCCACTTCAGACCAGCTGTCCACTTCAGTCGCTCAGTTACATTAATTCTAACCTTATAAAAGAAAGCATATAGACACTAAAATTCCAGCCTACATGATGGACATTGCATGATTGTTGCATGCCTACTCAACACATTTGCCATTGTAAACTTAAGATGAGAAAATAAATATATAGTTAAAAAATATATGTTAAGGGACATTGTGCCAGAACACCTACGCAGGACAAGGTAAAGTATGTTCCAATGGACCGGAGGGGATACCTAAAAACAGCCACAGCAACCCTTCACTGTAAGTCATGAAGTAAGGCTGGCATTGTCTGACAAGGTGTGGTGGAAGGACAGGGGTTGGATCAAATGATCCCTTGACACAGTTTCCAATAAACAGTCCAATTTGTCAATGAATGGGAGACAAGTAAGGGAGCACTTACTAAGGTGAATCGATGAATACATAGACAATCAGAAACTTTACATAGCTCAAAAGCAAACATCACAGCAATCAATCCATTAAAATGTAACAAGACATTGAAGGACACTGAAAAAGGAATACTCAGTTGATAGAAAAAGAACAGACAGTGACCCACATACTTAAAAAAAAAAAAAAAAAATTCAAGCATTAAAGTCTTAGCAATATAAAATCAAAGAACTAGATAAAGTAAATGAAAAATGCCTTAAGTTATTTCAATTAAGTGTCAAACCTTCGATGAATAATTGATCTCTCATACAAATGTGTGTTAATTCTCTTTCAGGAAGGAAATGGTTATAATTAAGTGAAATGGGAAAACATTTACAAATATATTGTCAATCCCATCCCCAAGTCTACCTCAAGTCGTTGCACGTGCCACATGGGTGATCCCACAATGACTGCCACCAGCCAGACCACACCTGTAAAAACATTAAAATTATAGGACTGCAATTCATGTAAGCAAAATGCATCATACTTAGTTCTTCAACAATAAAGAGTTGATTGCACCCATTACCTCTGCCCTGGAATAGTGCCGTGGTCTCCTCACAGAGCCTCACTTTTATTTTTTCAATACTCTGAACTCTGCTACTGGATGGTCTTCCTAAAACATGTTTCAACTGTTTAAAGATTTTAAAATAATTTTTATTGCCAATAAGATAAAATTCAGCCATTCTTTTCTGATTTATGAAACCACCTATAGCATCACAAATGATGGCTTTCTTTCCAAGCACCCTGTCCTTCCTTAGTTTGATGAGAGGGGTGCCTTTAATAATGTGCCCTTGGCAAGAAAAATTGGATTTCTGGTGTGGCTCTGTAGGTTCAGCGCTGGACTGCAAACCACAAGTTCTGCAATTCAAACACACCAGCTGCTCCACAGAAACCTCATATAGGGTTGCTATGAGTCAGAATCAACTCAACAGCACTTAACAACAACAAGCAAGAAAAATAGAGAACAATTACTGTGTATCATTTCAACCTATCATTTCAACCTTAACAAACTAGGGAGAGGTCTAAACCAAGACCCTAACTTTGATCTTAGGAAATATTTCCTTGCTCAAACTGTTCTTTCTATACTCATATTGGATAGAATCATTCTATATTGTTTCTGGGAACTGAGACTCATTTAAGCCACCTAAGAAAATTGGGTTCATCGTTAAAAAAAAAAAAAAAAAATGCATGTACTGAAGCTGGCTATTGTTGTTGCTGTTATGTGCCATGGAGTTGGTTCTGACTCATAGCAATCCTGTACAGGGTCTCCAAGGCTGTAAATCTTTACGGGAGCAGAAAGCCTCATCTTTCTCCTGTGGCGTCATTATAATCCATGAGAGTTCTAGGGACCATATTGGTCTGCATGTCTATCTGTCTATCTGTCTAACTCTGTGTGTCTCTGCACGCTTGTATATGAAAGCATCCAAAAAGTTCATGGAAAGTGGAATTAAGAGATAATGAAAAATTTTCATTAACTTTGTATAACAGACACACACACAAATAAACATAAGATGACTTCAAAAACTTCAAAAATTCCATTATCTTTCTATTCTAGTTTTCCACAAACTTTTGAATCCCCTCCATATATTCAATATATGTATATATAGATATACAAACACAACAATAAGGATCCCTGGTAGAGCAGTAGGTTAAGTCTTGGGCTGATAAACCACAAGGTTGATGGTTCAAACTCACCTGACATTCTGCAGGATAAAGATGAGACAGTCTGCTTCCTTACAGACTGGTAGTCTCTGAAATCCTGTGGATGAGTTCTACTCTGTCCTACAGGGTTGCTATGAGTTAGAGTTTACTTGAAAGTAATGGGATAATATACCATTACCCTTTGTCATCAAGTGGATTCCAACTCATAGAGATCCTATAGGATAAGGCAGAACTGACCTTGGAGTTCCCAGGCAGTGATCTTAATAGAAACAGATAACCACATCCCACAGAGCAACTAGTGAGTTTGAACTACCAGTCTTTTGATGTGTCATACTATAGTGGCTTTTGATTTGCTATATTACAATATTTCAAATAACAGCAGGGCACCTATGATGAGCAAGTTTCAACAGAGCTTTCACACTAAGACAGACTAGTAATAAGGAGAGAAAGACTGCTTCTTATGAAGGATAAGCCATTGAAAACCTTATGAATAACAGCAGAACACTGTCTGATATAGAGACTGAATAAAAGTCACATAAGTTTGAAGGAGCTCAAAGTACAACTAGGGAATAAGTGTTTCCTCAAATTAGAGATGGTGTTAATGACATGGATGGAGCAAATCTTTCAGACCCATCATTTACTGATGGGCACAACTAAAAATGAAAACTTCACATCTTTCAGGACCATCATTCGTTGATGGGCACAACACAAAATGAGAACTGCAAACCTCCATTAATAATCAGCATGCGGAATGTATGAATATAGAAAAATTGGAAGTCATGAAAAATAAAATGGAATGCATAAAGATGGCTATCCTAGGCACTGATGAGCTGACATGGACTGGTATTGCCCATTTGAATCTGACAATCATATTGCTTAATATGCTGGGAATCACAAATTGAAGAGGAATTGTGTCACATTCTTTGTCAAACACAGCATTTCAAGATCTATCTTGAAATACTATCCTGTCTGTGACAAGATAATATCGATACACCTACAAATAAGACCAGTTAATACCACTATCATTCAAATTTATGCACTAACTATTAAGGATTATGAATTTGAAAGGATTATGAATTTGAAAAAGTCTACCAACTTCTTCAATCTGAAATTAATTGATCAAATATGCAATCAAGATGCTTTGATAATTACAGGTAATTGGAATGCAAAGTGTGGAAAAAAGGAAAAAAGGATAAGTAATTGGAACATATGAATTTGGTGACAGAAATGATGTTGAAGAGTGCATGATAAAATTTTGGAAGACCAACAATTTCTTAATTGCAAATACCTTTATTCAGCAACAGTGACTATACATGTGAATCTCACTGGATGAAATACTCAAAAATAAAATTGACATATCTGTGGGAAGAGACAGGTAGGAAGAGAAAGAGTTCAATAACATCAGCCAAAACAAGGCCAGGAGAATTTGGAACAGATCATCAATTGCACATATGCAAGTTTAGGTTGGAGCTGAAAAAAATTAAAACAAGTCCATGAAAAACAAAATATAACCTTGATTATAACCCACTTGAATTTAGAGACATTTCAAGTGCAGATCTGATGCACTAGACACTAAAGACTGAAGACCAGAGGAGTTGTGGTATAACATGAACATTATAACAGGAAGAAAGCAAAAGGTCATTAAGAAGACAGAAAAGAAAGAAAAGATCAAAATGGATACCAGAAGAGACTCTGAAGCATGCTAATGTAGAGAAGCAAAAGCAACTAGAAGAAATGATGAACAGAAAATTGCAGACAGCAGTTCAAGACAAACTAAAGTATTATAATGAAATGTGCAAATACATGGAGTTAGAAAACTAGAAGGAAAGAACATGTTAAGTGTTTCTCAAACTGAAAGAACAGAAGAAAAAATTCAAGTCTCAACTTGCATTACTAATGAATTCCATGGGCAAAATATTGAGTGATACAGGAAACATTGAAAGACGGAAGGAATACAGTCATTGTGCCAAAAAGATTTGGTTGATGTCAACCATTTCAAAAGGTAGCATATAATACTCAGGGAAAAAAATACTTAGGGAAAAAAATACTTAGGGAAAAATAATACTTAGGGGAAAAAACTGATAATATCAAGAACTGACAATACTTAGGGAAAAAAATCCAATTTGTACTGATGTGAATGACCAAAAGCTAGGCTTCATAAATTGACGGAATATAATTAAAATGTTTCAGCAAACTGATAAAGAGCTGAAGGTGCTCATTCGTATATGCTAAGAAATTTGGAAGACTGATGGGAAGAGATTCATATGTGTGTCCATTCTAAACAAAGGTGATCCAATGGAAATCATTGAACAATTTCACGCAAAGAAAATTTTGTGAAACATGATTTAAAAACTGTTGCAGCAGTTGCCAGAAATTCAAGTCAGATATAGAAGAGTATATTGAATGAAGAATATCACTACTAGTAACAAATGGATTTTGGTTAAAAACAGAAAATACCAGAAAGATGGTTATTTGTGCTTTATTGACTATGCAAAGGCATTCAATCGCATAGATCATAACAAACTATGGATATCATTGCAAAGACTGGGAATTTCAGAATACTTAATTGTTATCATGAAGAAACTGAACATAGACCAAGAGACAATTGGTATAACAAAACAAAGGGACACTGAATGGTTTAAAATCAGGAAAGTTGTGCATAAGGACTGTATCCTATCACCAAATTTATCAATCTGTATGTGAATTTATCTGAGAAACGGTATTACATGAAGAAGAATGTGCAATCAGGATGAAGACTCATTAGCAACCTGCAATATGCAGATGACACAACCTTGATTCCAGGAAATGAAGTGGGCTTGAAATATTTATTGAAATATTTTCTTTGATGAAGATTAAAGACTACAGTTTTCAGTATGGATTGCACCTCAATGTAAAGAAAATGAAAATCCTTACAACTGGGCCAATAAATAACATCATGATAAATGAAGAAAAGATTGAAGTTATCAAAGATTTCATTTTGCTTGGATCCTCAATCAATGCTCATGGAAGCAGCAGTCAAGAAAAAAAAGAAATGTACTGCATTGGACAAACATGCTGCAAAATATCTCTAAAATGTTCAAGATCAGACATTACTTGGAGGAATGAAGTTCACTTGATCCACATCATGGTATTTTCAATTGCTTCATATGCATGTGAAAGTTGGGCAATGAGCAAAGAAGACTGTAGAGGAATGAATGCATTTGAATTATGAAGTTGGAAAAGAATATTGAAAGCACCATGGACTATCAGAAGAAACAAATTGATCTTGGAAAAAACACAGCCAGAATGCTCCTTAGAATTGAGGATGGCAAGATTTTGTTTCCTGTACTTTGAGCATGTTGTCAGGAGGAACCAATCCATGGAGAAGGATATCATGTTTGGATAAGTAGAGTGTGAGCATTAAAGAGGAAGACCCTTAATGGAATGGAATGGAATGACAAAGTAGCAGCAACAATGGGCTCAGACATTCCAACAATTGTGAGGATGGTGCATGAATTGGCATTGTTTCTTGTTTCATTCTGTTGTGTGCAGGGTTGTGTACATATGTATATTGTATATAT